ACAAGTATAAAGACTGAGTGACTGGGTATAGACTGATTCTGTGATGACTTCTCCGGCTTCTTAGGGATCTGCGTAACATGCATTCTGTGACTGATCTGTGTCTGTTTTAGCTCAGGAGCTCAGAGGCCTAGGCTACAAGAAAGGCAAGCCTGTTGGCCTGGTGGGAGTAACAGAGCTCTCTGAAGACCAGAAGAGGCAGCTTAAAGAGCAGCAGGAGGTATGGACTTGATGGCAGCTAGATGGGTCAGTTACACTGTGAAGACTGATGGTGAAAGGGCAACAGGTGTATGTATCTGTGAAAAGCAACTGATGTGGTTGTTGTGGCAGGAGTAGTGCAGTAAGGGTCATTGACATACCCCACCCACCCCTGTGCGCTCAGATGCAGGAGATGTTCGACATGATCATGAAGCACAAGCGGGCCATGCAGGAGATGCAGCTGATGTGGGAGAAGGCTGTGCGTGACCACCAGCACGAGTACGACAGCGACGAGGAGGTCGACGCACAGAAAGGGACCTGGGAGCACCGACTGCGGCAGATGGAGATGGAGAAGACGCGCGGTAAGAAGGACCCCCGTCGCTTCTGGCTCCCGTTCTCTCTCTTTCGGCTTCTGTTTCTGGAGAGCAACGGAGATCGTGTCTCTTCAGAGTGGGCCGAGCAGCTGACAGAGATGGGCAAAGGCAAACACTTCATAGGTGACTTCCTGCCTCCAGAGGAACTGGAGAAGTTCATGGAGACATTCAAAGCTTTGAAGGTGAGCCCTGATAGTGCCTAAGGTGGATGGTGTGTGTTTCAGTGCTCTTTGTATACAGTCAGCCCTTGTTGACTGTTTTATATGCATAGAAATGTAATATATACTATAAACTAAAACATTTAACTAACTGATGCTAAATTAGAACCTATTCCAACTGCCAGTATTTATTAAATAATGTCATATATGTGTGTGACAGAGTAAGGAAATCGTGTCCTGACACTAGATAAAACTGCCTGAACTTGCTTTTAATGGCAAAGCTTTCCAGTCTGTGAATAATACCGTCTGCGTATGGATGCAGGAGGGGCGGGATCCCGATTACTCGGAGTACAAGGAATTTAAGCTGACGGTGGAGAACATCGGCTTCCAAATGCTGATGAAGATGGGCTGGAAGGAAGGAGACGGCCTCGGCTCTGACGGGCAAGGAATCAAGAACCCAGTGCACAGGTGTGCCCTCTGCGTTTCCTTTCCTCCATCTGTATTGCACTTTAAACTAGGGGCTGCCTGTACTTCTGTTATGAACATGTCACACAAGTCTGTCTAAGTTGAATTTGTAGGTAAGTTGGAATAATAATAGAGTTCATCATAATAATTATTACTATATAGTAATAATGAAAGTGAATACATACAGTGCTGAAGCCGCCTGATGTTTTCATGAGCGTCAGAAAGTGCATATGTTTGTTATGAACCATTGTATTTAACCCAAATTTATTATATAATGTCCTTTATGGCAGTCCGTTTGTAAGTACGAGTTGACTGTAAGTTGGACGTTCTTCATCTGGGGAAAGGCTGTACTTTAAAAGCATGAGTAACCTTTTTAAGATGGGATTTCATTCTGGGGTTCTTTGCTCTTGTGGCATGTTGCAGGGGCACGACTGCCATCGATGGCGCTGGGTTTGGGGTGGACCGGCCCGCCGAGCTGACGAACCAGGATGACGAGTATGACGCTTTCCGCAAGCGAATGATGCTGGCATACCGCTTCAGGCCCAACCCACTGGTAACTCGACCCTACAGAGGCCGCCTGCAAAGCATCATGGGATAGTTATGGGCAACGTGCTCTTGTTCACTTGCCGACTCAAAATATTCAGTAAAAACTATTAAACTTTGTCAAAAAGACATTGTTGCTTTTATCACATTTTAAATATATTTCCTGAATGCAGCCAAAATAGTAACCAATTTTATGCCAGGACTTTAACTTACGGTCTCCATTTGCCCTCGCTAATGTGTGTAATTTCTGTGGGCTTCCCAGATTACTGTGGGTTTCCTCCCCCAGTTCAAAAACACCCAGATAAGCAGAGTCTTAAAATGACCAATAGCAGGGCTATTCAAATCACAGTCCTCATTGGCCAGGTCCTGCTGATTTTCCAGCCTGCTTTTACCTGTGAGTCAGGTGTGAAGCCTCTGGCCAATCAGAATCAGTAATTATTAAACTGACTACCTGGGAGAACTGGATTTGGAATCGAGGGCCATGATAGATTTTAGACTTATTGTGACGTTCTGTATTAGCAGTTTTGGGATATGAAGAGGCGGAAATTGTTTCCACCAAGTAATACTGAATGTCGCCACAAGGTGGTGTATAAGAACCACAATGGAGAAGAGAGGCAATAGGACTATTTGGAAAATATTGAAGGACTAATTTTGACATTTCAAGGCGAATGTATAACGATTACTGTTTTTTCCCTCCCCTCAGAATAACCCAAGAAGACCCTACTATTGAAGCAAGGAGCAATACAGTTACTGTTTTTACAGTTGTGTCAAAAACTGAGATGGTTAAGGAAGCTAATCAAATCAGCTTGCGGTAAAAGGGGATTTGTGATTGCTTTTATTGTAAAGACAAGCGTATAGTATCCCTGGCTTCTCTGGTTACCCAAGAAGATGTCTAAATAAGTTCTTCTTTCGCGTGACACGGAGAGTCGAAGGTCAGTAATTTTCGAGCAGCTTGGCCTGTGTTTTATAGAGCCACGCTGGTCTCCCACACATGGCGATTGACTTCACATTCACACTTTTTACCGCACAACTGCTAATCTTAAACACAGACACAATCTGTTTAAATTAATATTAAGCAGTGCTATTTGATGTTTAACAGTATTCAAGATGTTTCAAGAACCAAAACGACAGTTTGCACCAAGTGAATGTACCTATAATTTTTTCCATACAATATATGATTTTTAAGTGGGTGTTTAGTACTACATATCAAGCTTTTAGGTTTAATTGCATTATTAAATCTGCCGTATATGTCATGTGGCCGATTTAATAAAAACATGGTTCCTGGTCCCTTTGTTTATGAATGGCTGTTTTTCCTCCCACTGGGGCTAGTTTGCGCTGTAGTTTTGGAGATGACTTACTGGCTAAATTCATGAATATTGAAGATGAACTGTGAATCGTGACTAGCAAGATTGCCAATGAATACACATTAACCTCCACTCACAGGCCTGATATTGTGCTGTATGTGTGAGAAAGCTGTCCTGAGAATTTGGTGCATTGTGAACGGCAAGTGAAAATAACTAAGGTTAAACATGGCTGTCAGTCTCATTTTTGTTATACCCTTCTTTAAATCCGTCTTGGTGACCACGTTGCAAATATGTTACAATGGTTATTTGCAGTTGCCAGCTCTCTCGCATCTGGAATGACTCACGCTTTCAGACTGTCACGCTCACGCAAGAAATCGTACAGCAAATCTATATTATTCCATTACAAACCTAAACATAGATACATCAAAAGCGTGGGAAAGTTCGCAAACCATACAGACTTTTCACAAGGTAATGAAATTGTTGCATGGATGTAAATGCGCCTGCATGTGTGTGCAGACTTATCTAGAATAGAAAGTCAGCTGACCAAAGCTGTTAAGATGTTAAGCGGCCACAGCGTTGATTTTGCAGACAGGCAGTCCGCATCTGTGCTGCATCTTCTTTTTTAGATGGAAACCCGTGTGACACGATTTTTCGTCGCATGGTTTCAGAATGTCTGCACTTGTTGCTTGAGTTGGGTATGAGCTAGTGGCAGTTACTCGTCCAAGTCCTCTGTTTAGAAGAGTAAGTTTTAATGCGACGACAGAAAAACATTTGACTAAAACCATGGTGGGACCGTGATGGTGGACGTTTAACATTTGCGGTAACACGCATGTCAAAAATACGATCATATCCGAAATATTTTTTTAAAAACTACAATTTCGGCCCACTGAGCTAACGAACAGGTACAGTATCGATGTGCTTTTTTGTGTGGTTAAATATTTCTGAAATTATTTTTTAAGTGAAAGCAAATAGTGTTTTGGACATGTTCAATCGGCATACATCAAGGGGTGTTGCAAATGTGTATATTTGAAACAGCGTATTAGTTCTATAAAAAAGCTATTTTAATTTAGGTAACTCTAAATGGCGTAATATGACTGACCCCATAAGGCCATCAATCCTGGGAGTTTGGGTGAGGGAGTTTTTGCTCCGTAAAATTACTTCGAGCCAATCCCCATGGGCAACCTTTTTGCTTCTACTGTCAATTAATGAAGGGAAAAACCTGAAAATAAATAGACGACGGCACGTACCTAGATTCACGCCTCAAACAGTCTCAGATCCCTATCCATCCATCTCCATATTACTCGCTACGAGATCTGAGAATTACCCCCATCACCTACCGGTGCAATGACCATTAACAGAGAATGCCCCCCCTCCCTAGTGGAAAACTCTGGCTGAAGTTAGTTAACCGAGGATGTCGGTTGTGAACGAATCGTTTAGCTGATCGGACTCAAAATGGTCGAGAAGAATCATTCCCGTCTCCTCTATGCATATTTTTGAACTGGGAGAAAACCAGTATAGACAAGGGGAGAACCCCCTCCCAACACATACACTGAGGAATTGGAACCCCAACCCTGGATGTATTACGGTACAGTGCTACACAGTTATCCAGCGAGGCGGCACCCTGTAATAAAGAGTTTCCTAAAGCTAACCACATGATTACTCAATTTACTGCGGCAAACATATAAAAATTTACTGAAACGACGTAAGTGTGGAGATTGTGGTCACTTTTCTATGCCTGACTTCTCAGTCTGAACACATTCTGCGAGCATTTCTGCAGGCCGGCGGTAACCCCTCATACGGCGAACAGCGGGTTTGACTGGCTTGGCATGGCGCACTATAACTCCGACGATAACATGTACCTTGCATAGACCCGCCTTTATAGAGTATAGCTAAGACGAGGGACGTGGCGTAAGCCAATGAAATCACACGTTTTCGGTGACGAAATTGACGCGTTGACGTCAAAGTGGAGTAAGGGGGAGGTAAACAAGATGGCGACAGCCTGACAGCAGCTGCAATTAGGAGTGCATACCTCCAGCTAATATTTATACCGAAACCAAAAGAATATATTCTTGGTTACATATCAGGTGCGACGTGTGACAAACATCTGGGTGTCAAGGTAAGAGTAAATGCGATACAAATAGTATCGGATATGTTTGCTTAGCTACCGTAAATTGCCATTCGGCTAGCTAGCCTGATCATTCGCTTCTACGGGAATGTACTTGACATTGTGGCCGGTTAGTTGGCCAGTGAAACCCGGCATCTGTCAATCAAGAGATAAGTATTCTGTTTGGTTTCCGTATGGATGCGGGCACCAAACAGCGCTTGGAAATGTAAGAGTTAAATTGTACATAAAGTCAGGAAAGCGTGTCCGGCTAAATCTGACGGTGTTCGGAGTCTGATTAGAGTCCACTTCGCTATTTAGCGCTTGTAATAAACAGCTATTTGTGGTCGCGCAAGGCGTGTAGCTAACTCCTGAACTGACGTGAATATTTTTTACCGATCACGAATAAGTGTAATACCAATAAGTCACGGCGTGCTACAACATGCCGTTTTAGCCGCCGCAGAAAGCAAGATATGTTTGGCTGCTTGTGGTCAGTTGTGCAATGATTTATATTCAGCTAGTTAGTGTGCTAATACTTACCGTCCTAAGATACTAGCTAGGAAAGAGTGACGCTGGCCAACTAGATGTGGAAATGCAGCATTTAGCCGGTTGACGCTTGGACGTAAATGAATGGCAAGGCGTTTTATTAGTAGATAATGGCTGCGTGGCGGAAGGTCTGGATTTGTAAATTAGTCGGTATTCCTGAGGCATTCTTTCTATTTATAATAAACAAAACTAAAAATCGAAAGTATTCTTGAGTAAACTTGTAAAGTAATGAAACCTGAGCCGGTGTGGTACAATACGTCTGTTTGACTGGTATTTGAACAAAATAATGTAATGCTTTGTAAATAAACACAACTTTTTTTCTTTTTTTTTTTATCTTATCGCAGATATCTTTTGGGGCGAGATTTTGTTTGTTTCAAGAAAGTCGAGTATTTGGTAGATTCTCGCCAAGTCGGACGTATACTGCAGTAGTGATCTGGATATATATATATATATTATTATTTTTTGCAAACCAGCAGTACCAAAGAAGACCTTCTGAATGTGAGACATCGCTAAACTCTTCTGGGGGAGGAGAGATAAAGCTAGCTGTTTGTCAACACTACAGCTCATGGACTTCTGACACAGGCATGCCCAGCAAGTCAGGATCTGAACCAAAAATATTTTTGCAGGATTTTGCGTTGCTTAAAGTGGGAAGTCCCTAGGAACCTGTCAGTGGAATGCAGCTACAAAGTCAAACTCCGACGGGAGTTATGCTATTGACGTTTACCATAGACTAGATCCACTATACTCTGGACTTGAGATTTGCTTGTCCCTTAATATATTTCTAATTCACTCTGCTGAAACTCCAAGTCTCCAATTCCTTGGAAGCAGTCTGATCTTATGGAGCTTAGTGTTCAGATCTGATAGTATCACACTGGATCAAGCCTGTTTTCTTCAGAATATCCTGGATCAATGTGGCAATATTGTTCTAGTGTCTGAGTGCTTTCTTACACTCAAAGTTCTGGAAAAGTTTTTCCAGTGTTTTTGAATTATTTTCTTTCTTGTGCCGAGTTGTCATTCCACACTGCTGGGGTGTGATCTCTGGGGAGGAACTGTAGCTCTGTCACTGTGGGGGGAAAAAGATGAGCACTGACGACCTGCAGCACTTGGACTACCTGCCAGAGAGCGAGCTGGTGGGAATGGACACCTTTATCCACCGCATTGATTCTACGGAGGTGATTTACCAACCACGCCGCAAGCGAGCCAAGCTGATCGGCAAGTACCTGATGGGAGACCTGCTTGGTGAGGGCTCATATGGCAAAGTCAAGGAGATGCTGGATTCAGAAACTCTGTGCCGAAGGGCGGTTAAGATCCTAAAGAAGAAGAAACTGAGGCGAATCCCAAATGGGGAAGCGAACGTCAAAAAGTAAGTGATAGGGCCTGTCTGTCGCTGAATGGTTTGAGAAGGGCTGCTCTTTGCACTGCTCAATAGAAAGAATGTTGAGATTGGTGATTGGCTGCACTGATAAATCACATGTCCCCTCATTTCTCCATATACATGTGCTTAAGAATTGGAGATTAATATAATGGTTGTTAAGCTCATAAATTTGGGCTGAAAAGTAGCACTGTTAGCACAGGCAACCAATCCAGAAATTCTACTCCTTAAAAGAAAAAATGACATGTTGTGGGGAACTTGTGACAGTATACACTGTCTATTGTTGACAACAGAATAATGTCAAGTTCAAACCAATCTAGATTAGACCAGATATTCCATGTCAGGGAGGACACTTTGAGCTAGGACAGGATTTGTGATCTACTATTTCAATTAAAAGGATCTGGATTTCAGTTAAGCACTGAGCTCATGCTGTGTGCTCATTGGTCTGCCTCATATAATCGTGCATGTGAAATGGCTGGCTGAGTCTTTCAATCAAGGAAACAAGCCAGTCAAAGCTCAAGCTAATTAGCCATACAGAGGAGCATTTCAGTATTAAAGTAGTTTGTAGAACCTGAAGAAGCTCATAGTGTCGTCTCTGACCATGGATTACGTGGTCACCCTAATCTAGACACAATAATGACTGTTATTGCTAAAGTAAAACCCCATGTTGATGTACTGCAGTATCTGAACAACGAAAGCTGGAGGTATTCCTACTCAGCTGGGCGATTGACGATTCACTGAATTTAGGCAACAGACTGTGGCTTGGTATTTATAATGAAGCTGCCTTCCAGTAACGTTCCAGCAGGCCTGCCTATACTCACCTGCAGACATAAATTACTATGCTGACTGACTGTTTTTTTTTTTTTGTACAGCCCAGCGAAGATGTGTCAGTGGGTGTGTGTGTGGTGAGGGTGGCGACTGCCATCATGGTGAATTTCCAGTTCTTTAGTGATTGATGTAAATCTCCATTGAGGGCTTTAGTACACTGCTTGTTTCTGTTTTGTTTACACTGTAAAGGTTGCTCAAATGCCACTGTTTTTTTTTTTTTACATAATGGATGAGTTTCATACCTCCTAGGATATTTCAGATGGTGATAAATGGGTTTGTTGCATCACTACTAAATTAAGCATTTCTGTCTCTCTCAGCAGAATCGTGTGATTTAGTCTTTGTCGGCAGAAGATTAGGTCTAGTGCTGATTTGCACAGACGATTGTCACCAGCCAGTCGAGTCCAGTATGGACTCTGTTTGAGTATTTCCTGAGTGTTTGTGTGTAAATACACTCGTCGGCTTTCCTGGAATGGTTGGCAGTTAGTCCTCCATGTTGCTGGTACGTGGAACAGTGCTACCAGGCAAACGCTGACCCTGCGGGCAGGTTAACCGGCAGATGCGGGAGCCTCAGTCACTGGGGGTCGGCCCGTCACCATGACACTGAAACCCACGATTATCAGTGAGAAAATGTCCCAGGACAGTTGGCATGCCGGTAGATGATTGAGCTATTGAATAACAGTAGTCTCTTTCTAGGTGGGTTTAACTAGTAGGTAACGTCTGTATGATGCATTGTTTTGGTGATTTGACGGCATGAAGGGCTTGCAGATACACTGCATGAAGGCCCAACAGGGCCTGTGTGTGGCTGAACAAGTTGGTTGGTATGTAATGGCAGCTTTTGGCTGTTTGTGATTCTGTACTGGTCCTACATAGCTGTCCGCAGCTCCCTTTGATAACCAGCATATGTTGAGGTCCCTCCAGTTTGACAGTGTGACCGTCAGGATCTCTCCTAGGTAGCAGGTTTATCTGTGAGCTCTTGGTGCCCAGTGGGGGCAGTGCGGGTGTGTCGCAAAGTGCCGCGTGACCTCTGAGCTTTGCGACCCACGCGAAGCTTAATCAAATCCAGTGCGTGTTCCCTGGCACTGCAGTGGGGCTGATAGTTCCCTCAGCGTGGCCCGGCCACTGCAGCGGGGCTGGCAATTCCTTCGGCGTAGCCCTGGCACTGTAGTGGGGCTGGCAGTGTCGTATAGCTGGCAGTTCCCTCAGTGTGACCCCAGCACTGCAGCGGGGCTGGCAGTGTCGTGTGGCTGGCAGTTCCCTCGGCGTAGCCCCGGCACTGTAGTGGGGCTGGCAGTGTCGTATAGCTGGCAGTTCCCTCAGTGTGACCCCAGCACTGCAGCGGGGCTGGCAGTGTCGTGTGGCTGGCAGTTCCCTCGGCGTAGCCCCGGCACTGTAGTGGGGCTGGCAGTGTCGTATAGCTGGCAGTTCCCTCAGTGTGACCCCAGCACTGCAGCGGGGCTGGCAGTGTCGTGTGGCTGGCAGTTCCCTCGGCGTGGCCCCGCTGCTCGCAGTGCCTGCAGCTTACCTGACCCCCGGAGCAGGCAGCTCTCCTCGCCTCGCCGACGATCCAGGGGAGCCGCTGCAGCTTTAATCACCCAGTGTGCTTTAATTAATGCCTCCTTGCTGCTGGCCCTCCGGCGCAGGCTTAAAATAGCAGAGTTTAACTTCTGCCACTCTAATGTTTTTTTCTTCTGCTGAGATCAGGCTCCTGTAATCTACTCCTTCTCAGTGTTGCAGCTCTGCAGGTCCTGGGACCTTTTGCTGACTTCTATCCGGCCAGGACAGCAGATGGCCACCAGGGGTCATAGCGGTGAAGGACAACGGGCTCGTAATTTGTTTAGTTTCAGGTGCTGCTCTAGGTACCCAATACGGATACTATTTTATTATCCAGTAGAAAACCTGATTCTCTAAATGTAGAGAGAAAAAAAATCTCTCTGGATGAAAGCATCAGTTTAACAGTGAATTACAGTCAGTATTTGGCATACTTGAGGATCCTTTGGTCCCCAGGCTGCAGTCGTCCTGCTGGTGTGTTAATGTTGTCTCTGTTTAACTTGCCCTGGACCATTGTCCCTTCATGTTAACCTTCAGTTTGCGCTTGTGTGTATGGGCAATGACTCATTGTATATCCTTGTTAGAGTAGTTAATGTCAAGCTGAATGACCGCTCCGTGTGGGGGGGTTAGGCAAGTCCTCCTGGCCCCCCGGTGGTGCTGCTCTGACTCCTGTTCCTGGAAGGGGGTGGTCTGCCTCAGCATGGTTTTGATGAGGAGTAGGACCGTTTGTCTGGGCCTCCCTGCATCTCTCCTTAGTATAAATTGACTGCTTTGATTTTTGTTGGGATCTTAATAGGTCAGTAGGGTTACTCAGTATTTTATAGTGGGGGCAGGGGTGTTTAAAATACATATTCTCTGCGGTCTTGGCGGTGATATGTCGTTCGGGTTCGGCTGCTAGATCACGTTACTCTAGTCTGGTTCGGTCTTAGTGTGGCATTAAAAAACAGCTGCAATTTCATTTATATTTCTTGCACTCGGTGCAGTTCATAGATGAACAGTAGTTTAGTGTCATAGACTCTGTGGAAAAATTGAAAAGTTAATTGATGGTGGTGATCATCTTTGTTGTATTTTTATTGGATTAAATGTTTGTATGTTGAACACTTTTATTTTAAAAGTATTTGTCGTGTAGTTTGTGTCAGTTCAGCCAGAGTGATTCAGCAGTTTTTCTTGGGAAGAACGACAGGGAATTTAATGGAAACTGGATCAGAATCTAGACACTAAACAGACACTAAACATACTGATGTTCACTATGCAGGTATGAATGAAATAGTTGTTAAATGTACTGATCTTTTTCTTTTGTGTTTTCCTTTTTTTTTCTCCCCCCCCCCCCCGTAATGCTCTGATGTTTACAGTGATTAATGTGAATTAGTCAGCCTTTCCGAATGCGCCATCAGTGTGTTTGCTGACATAAACAAGGAAATTGCGTCGGGCCCTCAAACTGTTATGTAACATCCGGCTTGTAGGACTTGTCACTTGGTGTTAATTTTCAAGTGGCGATGTTCACTGTCATTACTGCTGCTTGGGGGCTGTAGTCTTGCTGGCTTGAGAGATTTCATTTTAATTAGTGCCTGATTGAGAGGTGAAGTGATGTTACAGTTAATGACCTCAGTGGAACTATTTACAGCATTTGGGGGGGGGAGGGGGCCGTTAGCATTTTATCGAATACTGGTGAATTGGAGACTTTACAGATGAGATTGATTGGTCTGCGTATGAAAACCCATGGCAGTGTATGTTTTGGGTCCAGCCATGACACCTGCTGACTGCTTCTCTAAGGTCGTTTGTCATTATGACTTTCCAGCGTATTCCGGGTGGTGCAAAGCCCACGACCCTCTGGCTCAGTGTCTGTTGCTTTGATCCTTGACTGAAGAGCAGGCTGCAGGCAGTTTTGGTGGGTGGACGGGGGTTCTAGGGATGTGTTAAACTGCACTTGTTCGCTGAGATTTTGCACCATGTGTTATTTCAGGAGAAGGTCACCTGAGCTGTGCTGTAAAATCAGAAGGTTGTAGGTTTAAAGCCCCTGATGGACCCTACTGTTTTGTACTGATAAAGGTATTAAGCAGACTCTGCTCACTGAACACTGCTTCAACACTACCTGAGCTGAACCAAACAGGCCCATATACCAGTTTTCAGGACTGTGCTATCGTGTACCATCTGTTTTTACTCTCGCAGGAACATTGAATTTACCGAAGGAGCTGTTGTGTAATCAGGGAAGGTCGTATCTGCCATTTCATCTCTGAGTTCTGTGCCGAGCATGGTTGTCATTTGGTTTTCTGGGCATTAGCGTTTGGGGTGAAGCCCTTTTGTGTCACACTAATGGCCTCCGAGCTGGGCGGAGCCTGGGATTTCGTCGGCCATTTGCACTGTGCCCATGTTTGCCTCGTCTCTCAACCCTGCTCACGTCGGCTGACCTTCGACCTCTCGAATGCCTCTTTCTTTCAGGGAAATTCAGCTGCTGCGACGACTCCGTCACAAAAACGTGATCCAGTTGGTGGACGTGTTGTACAACGAGGAGAAACAGAAGATATATCCTTTTTTTGTTGGAGTGAGTTATATGCCATGTGAAAGGGGGAGGGGGGGGGAATCTCGCCGCGTTCTTGTTCTCTCTTGACTGGTGTCAACAGTGTGTGTCGTAAGAACATTTCTCAGCTTTGGCCCACGTCGAGATTCCGTACTGCTGACCTCGTCAATATTCTTGATTCAGTGAATCTGTTAAAATGTCAGGATTGCTGTCCGTATTTGCAGTAAGGAGTGTAGTGCATGTCTGTGTGATATAGTCTATGCTGCTTGTGTGAGTGTTGTTGTGTGCCCACTCTCCGGCTGTGTTGCGTTTCATCGCTCTGTCCACAGAGGGTCTCTCTTGCGCTTCAAAACAGAAATCGGAACTCGCAACTGCAAGTGGACAGGCTGGCCCTCGCTGGAACTGAGCTCGTGTCAGGTGGCGCTGCAGTACAGGACTTGGTACTCACGAGTACCGGACCCTGGAGTATTTTATTAGTGTTTTATCGCGTTGCTCTGTGAGTCTTCTGAGAGATGACAGTTGTAAGAAAGAACTTTCATCTTCGCGTGGTTTATGACTCGGGCTTTTGCCGTGGCTGAAGTTTGAATCCAGTGAGGCGGTGAATAGCAGCTGTCTAAACTCATGATGTGCCTGGAATGAAGTTCCTCTCCTCCTCTGGCAGCTTGTAGGAACATGCTGTATGGGACGGCTGCTCATTCCTGCTGCTGGAGATCTACCACCCTGCAGAGCTGAGCTTCAGCAGAGCTGAGCTTCAGCAGAGCTGAGCTTCAGCAAAGCTGGCTCTGATACGGAGACGTCACTGGAGGCCCCGATCGTCCTTATTGGGCGTGTTAAATTAGGGCCACGCCTAGAATCTGCAGGGTGGTCCGTCCCCACGAGCAGGAATGAGCAGCCCTGCTATAAAGGGCCTTTTACCAAATGAAGGAAAGTCGTTGCCTGAAGCTTCTGCTGTTGCGCTTGGTTGTGTCTGCTTTGGCTGCCTCGCATAGCATCAGAGACGCCACTAAGAGAAGAAGCTGCACTAGCAGCAATGACACCTTGATCCTGCACTAACACACTAACTGTCCTCATATCTTTGTGGGGACCATCCATTCATTTCTATGAGCAAAACCCTAATCCCAGCAGTGACAAACTTAACCTCCCGCCCAGCCATACCCTTAAGTCACACAGATTGCAGTCACAGATTTTTTATAAAATTTGAAAGAAAAAAAAATGGTCCCCACAATGCCAAAATAACAGGTTTTAATCACATTGTGGGGACATTTTGGGCGTCCACACTCACACATTCCCTCTGCCTGCACACAAACTATCTTTTATTGTCGGGATTGTTTCTTAGGAGTCCCCTTGAGGGGGGGGGGGGGGGGATGCAGTGGTGAGTCAGCACTGAACCCCCCCCCCCCTTCATCCCATTTAGTTCCTTCCCTGACATCCTTCAGGCAGCAGGGGGGTTGGTGCCCAAAGCTGTGGATCATAGCCTCCTTTGAAGGGTGATGGTATTCAGTGGTGTCTCTGGCTCACAGATGAATCACTGTTACCCAGTGTGTGTTTCTTTTAGCTCAGAAAAGTATAATGATGAATGTTAGCAATTTGTCCTGCCTGCATTTCTCCTCTTTGGAAAGGCCAGTTTTAATGACATTAGTTTGTTTTATTGGGCACCACTAAGATATTCCATCTCGTCAGCTGATGTGTAAGGAAATGCATTTATCTAGCAGATGATGCTCTGGATGTTTTGAGGCGTTTCCACGTCCAGTGACCTAATCGCGTTGACATGAATCCTGGTTTAATGTTGACGATCCTGCCTTCAGTGCTTTTCTTCTGACCAGATGATTACGTTCCCCCCCCGGTGCTGATGCGTGTCCGTTTGTTCCTCCCATGTTCATTTGCCCTTGACGGCTCGGTTACGTATATGGTGATGGAGTACTGCGTGTGTGGCATGCAGGAGATGCTGGACAGTGTACCAGAGAAGAGGTTTCCTGTGTTCCAAGCGCATGGGTGGGTATTCTACTCTCCTCTCTTCTCACGTCTCTCTCGCAGAATGGCCACCCTGAACCTCTCCTTCAGGGTCGTCAATGCTCTGAGGTGCTTTCTCAGTTCAGAACAATATTTACTTAACGTTTACTATTTAATACACTTTAATTGTATTGTATAAAGACTATTTATATAAGCTCTGGAGAAAATTAAGAGACCACTATATTTTTAAACCAATCTGCATTTTTTAAATCCTGGTTTAATCCTGGTTTAATCCTGGTTCTGCTGGCAGAAGGCTGCACTGTGAGGCAGGCTGCTTATAGGTTCAAAGTTTCTAAGACAGCAGTGCACAAAGAGGAGGTGAAGCAGGAGACACTGGGAACAACCAGAAACCAGCCAGGTAAACGGTGGAAGTGAATTTCTAATGCCAGAGACGACCATCAACTTATCCGGCAGTTTCTCATGAATCAGAGGGTGACATCAAGTGACCTTCAAAAGGAATGGGAACGATTAAGTGCAGGTGTGAAGTGCGCTGCTAGGACAGTGTGTATCAGGCTCCTTAAGCAGGACTGAAGACCCATAAAGCAAAAGGAAGAAGCCCTTCATCTATGAGAAACAAGGAAGAGCCAGGCTGGAGTTTGCAAAAAAAAATACCCGGAAACACTCCCATAAATTGAGAAATCAGTGAAACTGAAAATTTTGCTGTGGTCTTTTAATTTTTCCCAGTGCTGTACGTAACACCGCAGTCCAGGGGAAGCCATTTCGCGTCACAATATGCGGGTGTTTCTCAAACCGCTCCTCAGGGAACCCGCAGACGGTCAGTGTTTTTGCTCCAGTAGATTAAAGAATACCAGTAAGTAGAATCAGCGGACAATAAGAACACAGAATAAATGAGAGAAAAGGTAGGACAGTAACTGCCTTTTGCGTGACCCAAGTGAAGGCACAGGGCGCTGGTGACGGCCCCCAGGACGCGTCTGAAGAAAGGCTGTAGTCGCACGTCTGAGGGATAAATCTGCATCGACGTGATGTTTGTTTCCTGCAGGTACTTCTGCCAGCTGATAGATGGCCTTGAATATTTGCACAGCCAGGGAATCGTCCATAAAGACATTAAACCAGGGAATCTGCTGCTGACTACGGATGGTGCCCTGAAAATTTCAGACCTGGGGGTGGCAGAGGTGAGGTTGGGGGTTTGCAAATAGGGGAGGGGTGGGGGGGCGTCATTGTTGGTGGGTAATCGAGGCAGTTTTGGTGAAAGAGTTTTGGCCTTAGTTTTTCGAGTGAGGCCGAGTAAGATCATGAGTGGATGGAATGAAGAATTGTTGGTGACGCTGTGTTTCCGCGGAAGCGATGGGGCCAGGTGAATGGGTGTACTATCTGTGTAGGCGCTGCACCCCTTTGCGGAGGACGATACGTGTCGGACCAGCCAGGGTTCGCCGGCGTTCCAGCCCCCTGAGATCGCCAACGGCCTGGACACCTTTTCAGGGTTCAAGGTGGACATCTGGTCCGCGGGTGTCACATTGTAAGTGATGGAGCAAATGTATCACCCACAGGCAAATATTCTGAGGATCGAAGGAAAAATGATTGGTTCTCTCTTCGAACCAATCAGATGTCTTCGTCCCACCTGCTTTAGTTCCTTGGACCCACCTCCTCAACAATCTGATTGGTTCTGTCTCTGAACCAATCATTTTTCCTTCTGCCCTCAGAACACTTTTGTGTAAGTGAAACTCCCAAGAGCGTGCTTCACCCGTATTTTCGGTTACCTACTGCGATGGCATCCAGATAGAAAACGGAATAATTCTGTCAAATGTTGTTATATTAAACATTTAGGAAGAAGAATGTTGTGTTTTTTCTGCCCTCTTTTCCTTTGCAGATACAACATTACAACCAGTCTCTATCCGTTTGAAGGAGACAATATCTATAAGCTTTTTGAGAACATTGGGAAAGGGGAGTATCACATCCCTGAAGACTGTGGGCCGCTGCTATCTGATCTGCTGAGAGGTGAGGCTAGATACTCCGGCTGCAGTGTGATCGGCGCCCCCTACCTGCCACTCCTTTTCTAATGAGCCATCAAGCCTGTATAATTGCCTGACTGTTACAAGTTACCGCCAGTAGAGGGCACTGTAATAACACAGAGCGGGCTTAGTGCCGCAGTAGTGCTCCGAGTGCATCGACGGGGAGTCCTGCACTTGTGATGGCGGTTCCCGCGTACGTGCCATGCGGCAGCCTGGGTCGCCGCTCTCTGCCGGCTTGGCCGTGACCCGCCCACGCCCGCCTGCTCCGCTTTGCTGCACGTCTCCCAAGATGAGTCACTCCTTAGCGTCTGCGTGAAGATTACGGCCTGTATGTGAGTGCAGCACGTTACCCCAGGCGGCGTGACTCGTGCTGTGGCGGAGCGCCCCCCCCAGGAATAGCGGTGGCTCTTGATGAACGGTGATGCTCTCATCATTGTAATCAGTCCATCTCTACCCACCCCCCCCCGTGCCCCTTAGCACAGCTGTGTGTGCTGACGCACCAGCACCCGTCAGCGTGTCTGAAACGGGAGCCTCCATCGCTCTCCTAGTGTTGCAGGGAAAATCCCGCACTGTCCCTCACAGTGCGGTCTGCAGTCTCCCGTCTCCCGGGGGGGCGAAGTGTCCCCGGTGCGTGGCCGGTAAACGGCGGCTGAAATGCACCCTCTTCAGGAGCGACGGAGCCACTTCAGCCGAGGGCTGCTCCTCTGCACCAGGGCACGAAAAATGAGGACGAGGAGGTTGACTTGCCGATTTACACATTCGGTCCCTGATCCATTTCAGGGTCGTTCACTCGCTCGTGGTTAAAAATAAATGTGACGTGTCCAAGCAAACGGTCTGGCCGGGCAAACGGAAACAAATGCATGCCATCACGCTGTTTATTAGAAGGGCAGCGATACCATTTGTGAATTTCTGAGTTTACTCTAGAGGGCAGGGAGCGAGCAACAATATTGTCTGAAAATACGTGATTGTTAGCGGGGGTGGTTTTCTAATAATCATTGATTCCGTTTTCTCGGAAGTGGGTAAATAAATGATGTGTGGCTACAATTGTCAGCTGGTCTCATTCCCATTTGTTTGTCGCAGGAATGCTTGAATATGACCCTGTAAAGAGGTTCTCAATACAACACATCAGACAGCATAAGTAAGTATTTTCATATACTGGTTTATTTCTGTGGATCTTTACGATGCAATCTGATTTGGTATAGACCTCCTTGTTTTAGGGCTTGCTTTGGTTCACTGACGAGACGTTTTAGCCTCTTCTTTACGAACGTCTCCCTCTTGGGATGGACAGGTAGATATTTCGATGAAACTGATGTGATCGCCATTACGGCTCCTCTGTGGCTGCTGTCTGCCAGTTAGGGATTTGACATTCATAGGCGTGTCCATTATGCTTAAAAGTAAATGCTTTTTTTCCCAGTAGAACAAGCTCCAGAAATCTGTAGTTAAGATGAAGCTTTTTCTAATTTAACTTTAGTTTGAAAAACGTTGCAATAACGCTGAAATAGCGTTACCCGCTGAAATAGCTGAAATAAGAGCACCTGTAATCTGGCAGCAAGAACAACCATTAAGTTTAGACTGAGGATTGCAGAGAAAGGGGCAGATTCCCTTTGTGCCAGCGTCTGACTTAATGATCCATGTTTTTCTCGCAGACGTTTTTATTAAACTCCACCTGTTATACTACTACAGTTTCACAGTTTGCCTTTTTATTAGGAATTTAGGTTAATTGCCTCAGTAAAGGTTACCAGAGCATGACACCCCTCCACCCCCAAACTGGGGAGAGTCTTCAGAAAGTGTAGTTTGCTGTTCTGCTTAGTGATTGGAATTTGACAGGTTTAACCTTAAGGTTAATATGGGATTAGATCTACTGTGTTGGAGGCAGGGACTGTGCTTGTGCCCAGTGCAGAGCATAATAGCCCAGACCCATTAAGTTAATTTGTGGCGACTGACGGGCTAGAATAATGTTTTGGCACATTTTAATACTCGATTCACGAATACAGACATTGCCAGTGCGGCTTGAGCTGCCGTCTCCATGGCAACAGTGGGCCGTGACGTATCCGTATGCTGACGTAATGCTCGCGCTCCAGGCTGGTGAAGCATTTTAGGGGGGGGGGTGCTGGGTTATCCTGCCTCTTCCTGACATGCTGATTTTAGAGGGCTCCCACTCCCCGCCTCACAGTGACGTGAGCGAGCTTCTGAAGCTCGTCTCCTTCAGACCAGAGCATCCAGACCTAAAAGGGCCAGAAAAGGCGACCTGCTGCTGCCTAGATTCCTGCTGATTGGTGTAAGATTCTGTGATTTAAAGGGGAGTTTCGGCTAACAATCGCCCCCATTTTCCACAACCATATCTGTTCATTTTTTTTTTTTTATTGAGGGGAAAAAAAAATATGTTCTCCTTGTATCACTGTGCATATGGTTGTGTAAGGAGCTTATACACACACTCACCGTGTGCGCTTGGCGGCGGTCACACTCGCCGTGCGCTCTTGGCGGCGGTCACACTCGCCGTGCGCGCTTGGCGGCGGTCACACTCGCCGTGCGCGCTTGGCGGCGGTCACACTCGCCGTGCGCTCTGGCTTGGCGGCATAATCACATGCTGACCAGGGTACAGAAGCGTAATCGCCCACACCAAACGTATCCATTATTTATATGAAATATTCTCGGAGTGAGACGTGAAACATCAGGTACGCAGGAATGAGGTGAGAGAGCATGATGGTGGTTTGGTGTAATCATCCTGACCTTGTCCGCCCCCCCCCCAGCTGGGTCCGTAAGAAACACCCCCCGTCAGAGCCGCCGGTGCCCATCCCCCCCAGCGCCGAGTGCCGAGACCCTTGGCGGAGCATGACCGTGGTGCCATACCTGGAGGACCTACACGGCTACACTGACGACGACGACGACGTGGAGGATGACGAGTTCTTCGACGGCGAGGATGAGATCATCTACACTCAGGACTTCACAGTGCCAGGTGCGGCTCTTAGGCTGAGCTGGTCCGCCTCAGTATTTCCACGTTTCTCTCCTCGCCATCTTAATGAAGAGCACAGATGAACACTGGGAGTCTTACCCTATAAGCTCGAGCATGTTTGCCTGGTTTTTACAAGTGTTTGTGGCAGAGATAGAAAGTTCAGGTCCAGAAAGTACAAATCCAGACCATGATTTTGTTTAAACCAACCAGTTGAGTGTAAAGAGTCAGTCATCAGGCATCCAGCATACTGTTATATGTTTTTTTTTGTGTCCTGTATCTGATGAGGAATTGTAAGTAGGGCTCTGCTTGATATGTGTCCACTGTTGCATTTTGGTGCAGGATATTAAATTTGTTTAGTTGAGTTAAACGTTTAAGGGCCTCAGTGCCACATTCTGTAATGGAGTCTCCTTTCGTGCCTTTTGTTTTTAAGAGACTGGTCCTCGTCCAGGTGTAGGTGTAGGTCAGCAGTGAGGAACAAAGCTCATGCGGTCACGAGGTGTAGGAAACAGGAAATGGAAGACAGGAAATGGGAGAGAGGAAATGGGAGAGTGGCAGGACAAAAAGACGCCTCAGTCACAATGATTTTAATTTTCCTTTTTATGCTTAAAATAATGTTTTATTCATCAGTTCTAAGATGTATTTCTTTTGAAACTGTTAGCAAGAAAGCCTTCAGCAATGGAGCTTAAATTATTCTCCCATTCTATTCTGAAATGGTTTTCTGTTGGACAATGGATTGAAAAAGGGCTGAAACGTGTGTCTGAGTGCGTGTGTTCACGCGCTCGCCCGCGTAGTCGCTGCGTAGGGCTTCCCAGGGGCGTCATCTTAATGGGCTGGAATGAAAGCAAGCGCACTGCTTACTGCACACTGTAAATAGCATGGTGTAGCGTGTTACAGTGGTCATTGGGTGGCCAGTATTTAGGACGCTTAATTGCCAGTGCGTGACAGGCTCAAGTCTCTGAAGTGGAAAATGTCGCTGTCAGCTACAGCAATGTAAAACATAGTAATTCAGGGCGCGAGGCGTGTAGAAAGTGCGGAGTGTAGGGTGTCGCGCGGCTCGTGCTGTGACAAGTCTGGGTTTGCGTAGCTGTGTCCTGCGGCTTTGTGCATGCTGGCGATCATCTGACCAGCTGGACGTTTCATTCATATTCATAATTTAAAAAAAAATAAAAAATCTAAGTTCCTCTTGCGTCTAATGGAGATACAAGCGGAAGGCTGCTCTGTTGTGGGATGAGTGTTGGGCCTGATAGGCTGAAGGTTTGCTGTGTCATGAAAGTTGACTCTAATGTTGACTTTTTACAGTCTGGAAGGTCTGGGTGTCAGTGATGCATGAGGTAGTCGGTTACCCTTTGACCTTTTGCCCCAGGTCAGCCCCAGCACTGCGTGCCCACAGACCGATGGGCACGTAAGACCCGGTTTCCGGGGGATGGAGGGTCTCTGCACTAGCTAATTTCTCCCAGTGCCAGTGACTTGGCTTTCTGGTAAATCTGTTCAGTGTTTCCTCTGATTATAATGTTTGTGCTGAATGGCAGGCCGGTCTAAGTGGCACGGCATCTTGGGAGAATGCGGAGGTAACAATTGCGTGCTTGTGCCGCCCATCTCCCAGCGATTCTCCTGCCGCCTCCTGACTCTGGCGTCTCCGCAAATGAATCACCGTGAGCCGCATTTAACCGGAAATCATCTTAAGCCGAAGCCGCTTCCTTCTGTTTCTGTTCGCTTTATTCCTGCCTCGCAAGCACAACGCAGAATGATGCGTCTGGTAATTGTTTCATTCGGATGTGAACGGTAGCCTCTTGTGGCTTGTTTTCCGACATGCATACCTGGGGCCTGAACCTCAAAGATGAGAACTTAAGGTAGTCTGGGCTAAATGTAAATGAACGTTGACAAAGGCCATTTAAACTGGGGTAGCTTAAATCTGACAAGTTATCTAGATAACCAACAAATACTGCTTCGTGACAAGTCCCTGTAGAGCATGGTCAGTCTCAGTCTCGTACTCTGACTCAGACTGTGTATGAAAGCACGGATGCCATTTTGTTTAGGTAGAGTCATCAGCACGTGGATTATGGGGAGAAGGTTAAGACTGTACAGAGGTGCAGTGTTGGGCATTTCAGGTCCAGAAGCTACAAATTGAGACCCAGGATTTGTTTCTACCAACCAGTTGAGCATAAAGAGTCAGTCACAGAGTAGTCACCTGGTTAGTAGAAGCAAAATCTTGGTCTGGATTTGTAGCTTCTGAACCTGAAATGCCCAGCAGTGTGCGTTGAAAAACAACAGAAGACCTCGTCAAGAGATTAATCTTGAGTTTGTGCTGCCACCTGGAAACGGCTCGATCACATTTGACTTCAGGCTGCCGCGTCTTCAGTGTGATCTTTGCTGCTTTTTATTTTTATTTTTTTTTTAAGTGTGGATGCCTCCCCAGAGGGGGTGTGAGATTCAGTCCCCCTAGCTTGAGGCCTTTTTGCGGCCTTTAATAGTCTGCATCACGCATCAGTCGTCTCCCCTTCCTGACTCGGTCCATCTCTCCTGCTCCCCATCTTCCTGACATTGGCTTTGAACTGCAGATCTGAGGTGCAGCTGCAGTGAATTCGCGATGACGACTGCAGGACGTGTCTCGCTGAGGTCATCATCAGGGGCTTCTTTCATGTATCCTGTCTGGGTGGTGTTTACCTACCTGTGCATTCGTGGGGTGGGGGATGTCTGTACCTTTGTCACATGCAGGTCGATGCCACTGAGCGTTTCTGAAGTTGGAAGTGTGTGTGATGTGGTAACTGACTGGTGTTACGGAGCAGAGCAGACCGTTCTGCTTCCTGGGTGACCAGTGTCATTGTCTCTTGCTACCTTAGTGTTCTTAATGACTTCTTGTACCAGGGGTGATTCTAGATTTTTTTTTAAGGCAGGGTGAATAAGAGGGACCAGAATTCATACAGTGGAGCCAACCTTATTAGCCAATGATATGTTTTGAATTGGTGAGTGACAGGGGATGGTGTGCGCTGGGAGCCAATCAGCTTTCAGCTGGGGCCTGTGCCCCCTGCCCCTGTATACATCCCTGCCTTGCGGCGCTTTTCCACTGGCATACAGGAACCGACCTGTACCCGAGTCGTACCGCGAAGAGAGCCTAGTTATAGCGCAGTTCCAGCTCGCTTCGGGTTTCATCAAGGCATTGACGGATTTGAAGAGCGACAGTGACGTAAAACCAAAGAGGCGCCTATTTTCTGTTCACAGGGTGTACATAACGATTTATTATGTGCTAATTTCCACCAATTTGCTATGTGCTAATTCCGTGAGAATTGCATCAACACTATTCGCATCAAACACTATTGGAATTAGCATTCGTTTGCGTAAATTTGCATTAGAAATCCGTTCCGTTCAGCCGTTCTATACTTTAAGTTCCGAGTTATTAGAAATGCATCAGTACATCGTGATGTGCAATCCCGCTAATAATTAATAATATATAAAATATTCCCCTTTTCCTTCAGATAATCTTTGCATATTGACACAGATCACCAGTATCTCTGTTCATTTCGACCAGTTAGTTGGTGACACAACTAGCCTGGTTTGGTCATACAGGCCGATGTCAGCATGGGTACGACTCGGTTAATTTACAGTACGGCTCGGTTCTTGGTGGCAGTGGAAAAGCACCATAATATACTCGCAGGTTCTTGACTTGGTAAGCTGTCTTTTTGTGCTGTTGTGTTTAATCTGATCACAAAAGCAGGGCAGGGACAAATAGCCTTTGGCCCAGTGCCAGCATGGTCATGGCTGAGCTTCAAGGGTGTCCAGCATCACCCCCCCCCCCCCATGTTTATTCTTAGTGCTGCTGATCCTGGTTGATTGGACTCCCCCTGTCATTTTTGCCCCCACCTCCCTCAGGCCAAGTTCCTGAAGATGAGGCGGAGCCTAATGGGCAGAGCCAGGGCCCGCCCAAGCCCATGTGTGTGAACGGCACGGAGCCGGGCCCCCACGGGGGGGTCAGCGGGGGCAGCTCCAAGGCCGCCTCCGACCGCAGGTCCAGCTCCTCCTCCAACCCCTCCCGGAAAGGGGTGGCCGCTGTCAGCCGCATCCGCAAGCTCTCCGCCTGCAAGCAGCAGTGACCTCCCTGTGCCCCCCCCTCCCCAGCCCGAGCGGCAGATTGTAGCGGTGAGTGCGGAACGTGCCATTGGGTGGGTGGGTGGGGGGTCGTTCGGGGGCAGTATTTCACATTTATGACTCCTATCAATTTGAGCCAACATTGAAAGTTGCCAAGTATTTAAGAAAAGAACAAGAAATTGTTTTAGGGTCCTTTGTGTCGTTGGCATTGAAATAAAAAATTATTCAACCATGTGTCCATCTATCTTCCGTCCACTTAGCATTTATACGGTAACGGAAGGGGGGAGTTGATGTGTGCAGCATAGAGAGCATAATGCTGGCCGGCACAGTGCACACTGACAACCTATACGCACATGGCACAATCCCCCCCCCACAACTAAAATAACAAAACAAAAAACTCTTATAGTCATGAATGGAAACTGCTTTGATCAGATTCCAAAGAAATGGAAATCTCCTGCACTGTATCATTTATTTAAGACTTATCCATTCATTGTTCTATTCGGGGGGAGGGGGGGGGGGTGGGTCCTATCCCAGGTGCAAGGCAGGGAACAACCCAGGATGGGGGTGCAGGGCAAACTTACACACCATTCAGTCACCCACGCACACCTACGGGCAATTGGGCTACTCCAATTGGCTTCAACATGTGGGGACAAGGGGGGGTAACCAGAGTACCCAGAGGACATGGGGACAACGTGCAAACTCCAAACACATGGAGCCATAAGGGAGACTCGAACCCTGGTGCCAGAGGTGTGAGGCAACGGTGCTAACCACTGTGGCACCATGCCGCTCCATATTACGAATTTTGCACTCTGTAAAAATTGATAGCATGGCGAGATCGGCGGCCTTAGGGTTACCGTCCGTAAGCAGATACTGCTGCTTTTGGTTGCTGTTGTCGGTGTTAGTGTTTGCAATGCTAATGCCGCGCTGCTGCTAGTATAATGGGGGCTGGTGGTTAAATGAGGCAGTGATGCAGGGCGGACAGCCAGCCTGATCTGCAGTATAACATGATCTACCTGAGCAGCGTAGACAGGCCGAGCTTCTGAGGGGCGTTGTAGCTGCTGAGCAAATGGGGGGGGGGGGACTTTTCCCTCTTATTAGAAGGGTTTGGGTTTGGGAGGGGCGGGGGAAGGGTGACTCACCGATTTTAATAAGATTCAGCGGCCGTCTTTATGAGTCATCCACGACTCCTACGCCTTCCCCACATCTGGGCGGGGGTGTTTGTGGTAGGGGGGGGGGGCTTTTTCAGCAGCCCTGGGATTGCAGAGTGGCAACGAGATTGGCTGGAAGCCTGTGCAGCCTGTGTGTGTTTGTACTGAGGATGAGTCATCCTGGCATTAGGGATGGGACTGACCTGCAGGGGGGGGCAGCGGTGAGTGGGGAGATACCCCCCCCCTTACTCCCATTAAGATGCTCTGCTCGAGGTCCTGCAGATTTCATGCACGTTGAGCTGAATGCTACTGCTGCTGCTTCTTCGCAGACTAACAGACTCGCCAGGGTAATCGGCGTGTCCCTGTAGCCCCAGCTGCGCAGCTGGGTGTCCGTGGTAACTGGAGTCTTTATGCTCACTCGTGAGACTGATTATTGTCGTCAGTGACATTCCGGCACACACACACACACACACACACACACACCGCTGTGTGCTATTATCCTTCCTGATGTAACCCTGAAGGCAGCTTCCGGCTGCGTTTGTTTCTCTCTGGGAATGAGATCAGCGTCTTGGGCAGCGGCTGCATCGCCTGTTTTTATCTTGTCACTTGTCCCTGTGATGTTTTGCTAAATGGGAGCTGCATCCATGTACGACACACACACACACACACACACACACACACACACACACACACACACACACACACAGCACTGCCGCAGTCAAAAACTTTTTAATTT